TGATTAGCCAGACAAGGTTCCTTCGTATAACACTACTATAAGAATTCCAGAGGAGGAGGAACTATTTTGCAGTAAGAGTTGTCAGGAATGGCACATGGGGAAGACAGGAGTATTGATAGAATTTTGATGGGGGTATTGGACATTTCAGATGAAAGAATGATAAGAATTCAGGGGTAAAAGTTAAAGGTGTACAGAACATTTTTAGGGTAAAGAAATGTTTTAGTTATGTTAGAATAAATTGTTCCTTCCTGCAGTCATGAGTGATAAGACCAAAATAGCATGTTGAGGACATATTAGGAAAGCTTTGAGTAGAGACTGTGGAGTTAGTACATCATTCTACAAGCAAAAGAGTTTCATGGAAAGCTTTTGAGCAAGCAAGTGGTCAGAAAGCATTAGTTATCAAAGTATTTGTTTAATAAGAAGATTCTTGAAGTGATACATAAATTATCTTGGCAGGAGGAGTCTGAAGGCAGTATGCTCAGGTAAGTGGCCATAGCATTAGTTAGTGTGTGAGTTAGTATATTAGTCCATTTTCATGCTGTTGGTAATACACACCCGAGATTGGCTAATTTATAAAGAAAAAGAGGTTTAATGGACTCACATTATGGTTCTATGTGGCTGGGGAGGCCTCACAATCATGGCAGAAGGTGAAAGGCATGTCTTACATGGTGGCAGACAAGAGAGAAGAATGAGAGTCAAGTGAAAGCAGAAACCCCTGATAAAACCATCAGCTCTTGTCAGTCTTATTCACTACCATGAGAGCAGTATGGGGGAATCTGCCCCCATGATTCAATTATCTCCCACTGGGTCCCTCCCACAACACATGGCAATTATGGAAGCTACAGTTCAAGATGAGATTTGGGTGGGGACACAGCCAAATCATATCATTTGGTAAGGACCAGAATCAAGTGAGAGTTAGAAATGAAGAACAGAATAAATCTGATTTTTTGTTTTTGTTTTAATGGAGCATTTACATATTATCATACATGAATACTATCATAAAAATGCCAAAGCTAAATGTATTGATAATCTTTATTATCAATGAGCAAACATTAATGGAATGAAAAAGAGTCTTATAAAAGACAACCACATAAATTTTTTATCTGAATGATGTTATTGTTCATAACCCAGTTTTACTCATGTTCCCTGTGTAATTTTCCAAGTAAGCCATTCTGCTGAGAGTTTAGTCCTTGGAAAACTTGATGTTCTTTTCAGAAACTGATATATTTTCTTCCTTCTCACAATGGTAGCCATAAAGCTCAGACAACCTTCCCTGAGTGCTGGCAGGCTCAGAACCAGGCCTGTAGCTTAACCAGCATAGCTGTGTTGATTTTGGGTTGTAATCTCTATTTTCTCCCGTGTTCATTCTCCTCCCATGTCCTTTGTCATTGCTCTTCACTAATATTATTGTCTTGGTTTCTCCTCTTCTCACTGTGTCTCTAAATGATTTTTCAAAGAGGCAAAGTATAACACATTTAATATGTACCAGTTGCTCTCCCTCCTACATCTCCAGTCTCATTTTCTTCCCTGAGATCTAGCATGGTATTCCTACATCTTGCTTGTATTGTGTCCCAGCCTCTAAATAAATGGCTCCATCTAGCACTTTCTTATGTCCAACTTCCAGCCTTTTTCAAACGTGATCCCTGAGCCAGCAGAAGCAGCAGCATCACCTGGAAACTTTTCAGAAATACAAATTCTGAGGCCCCACTCCAAGTACTGAGTCAAAAACTGTGGGGGTGAAGCCCAGCAATCTGTGTTTCAACAAGGCCTCTGGGTGATTCCGACACATGTCCAAGTTTAAAAGCCACTACTCTAGACAAAGACTGGGCTCTTTTCTTTCTCTCCATGTCTATGTGTTCTCTAGCTCACAGCATCTCTGGTCCACTCTACATACTTGCTCTGCTATCATGGCAAATTCTTTACACATTTTTTAGAATGAGCACAAATTCTTAAGAGCACTGATTCTATTGAGGTAGCAATCCTTGCCACAGTTAGTAAAGCATTCATGGGTACCCTCACTGATGAGTGACCCTCACTCATCACTGATGAGTGACCCTCACTGATGAGTTCACTCATGGTCACTCATTGATTCATGCTTGGGCCAGTCTTGGACAACCTGACAACATTTGCTCCAGTCAATAGCCACCCCTAATTAAAAGACAGGGTATAATTCCTTTCCTAAGCAAGGCTACAGCACATAAACCAGGAGGAGACCTGTTCTGTTCAATAAATGTATCTTTAATTAAGTAGATGTGTATAGTATGACTTCAGCAGAGGACTAACTGTAAACTTCTTAGTTTGGTAAAATGGACGCAGTCTTCGTTTAAGAAAGACAAGAGGCAACAATTATTGTTTGGCATCATTGGAAATAGTCCAGGCAAGGCAGTTTACCTGTTCTCCCATCCAAGTATTAACCAGGCCAGACCATGCTCAGCTTCCAGGATCAGATGAGATCTGGTGTGTTCAGGGTGGTATGGTCATAGACAGTTTACCCATTCTGATGTTTGAAGATGGTTCAAGTTAGTGTTGATAATAAAGACTCTATAATAAGCGAACAATGACTCAATTTCTAAATTACACAGATGCTATCCAACTTATATCCTTAAAGGAAGTGTATTGCTAGATGTTCTCATTTGTGTGTAAAGATATGGTTCCTGCCTACCACCACCTTTTTAAAGTTAAGAAGCACTTTATACATTTAAGTGTAGTGACAGCTTCAAAAACTGGTTTAAAACCTTCAAGTTGCTTTGTTAGGGGCAACAAGTGGCAGGGATGGAAAGATTTTCAGGGGAATCTCTTATTGAACTGAGGCAGAAAATAGATTGGGAGGGTGGGGTTCTTGTAGTTATGCATGATGGCAAAATAAGCATACAAGTATTCTTGCCAAATAAATGTGAGTTCCTAAGATTTATTCAATTATAATTGGAAAGATGTCGGTAATCCATGCAGCTAATAACTGGGTCATAAGCAGTCTTGTTCTACAGCTGATTAAAAACAAATAAACCAATACATATTTATTAGGTACTAATGAAGCACTCCCTTCCTACCAGGAGCTTTCATCTACTTGAAGAGTATGAAGCAACACTGAAGTACAAGATAAGAGATGGTTACGTGCTAAATTATGTTATCCTTGACATACTTTTCTTTGTACATGTTTAGAGATCTCATCCCTCATGACTTTATTTAATAACTATGTAGGTCAGTGTTTCTCAGTCTTGAGCAATGTAAGGACAGACTGTGGCAAAACTTGCTTACATTTCCTCATTTCTTACATGGAATGAAAGCATTTTTATTATATTTTACCTAAACACGTACCAATGTAAAAACAGGCACAAACTGCTTAGCCTATGACCCTTAACTATAAAAAACAAATTTATAAGTTAAATACAGAAAAGTTACTCAACAGAATTTAAATTAATTTAGTGGCAAGGATAATATTTTATTGAAAAAACAAATCACCACTAAAACCCTGAGCATGGTTCTACCTGCTAAAATGCATCCTCCTTTGTGTTCAATAGGCCTTTCCCACTATGAGTCACACAGTGACTCAGTTCTTGCCACTTTATTCAAACTACTATGAACCTACCCTTTATACACTTCCTGTAGGTTTTTTTTTTTGCATTTGATTTGTACAAACTTATCCATATATGTATTAACTCTGCTTGTGATAGTTTCTTGTTATTTGATAACAATTAATATAGTGCCACAGATGGACAACCTGATTGGAATACAAATGAAATGGAAATCTTAGGTGATACTCTATATAAGGAAGCCATCCAGATGGCCCCAAATTTTCATGTTACTTTTTAAAGACTGTCATAGATACAAAGACACAAAATCCTCATTAAAAAATCATTTAAAAATCATCAGTAAACCGAGGGCATCTGTGGTGGGCACAGCTGTGTGTCCCAGATACCCCTGTAAGGAAGCATGTGGTGACGAAGCTATCAGTAGACCACCTCCAGCTCTCAGTCCCTTTAGGGTTTGCTCTGCTGCAAAAAGCTGCCTAGCCCAAGAACTCACCCTTCTCCAGATGCTCACATTCAATGACTGATGGAGGCAGCCATATCAACACCAGGTTATTACTCCCGAACAGGGACAACTCTGATGGGTCATGTACGCACCAGCTTCCCTGTGGAGTTGGCTGAGGTCAGCCTGCATTGCAGTTCTACCTCTCCCTACCATTCCTGCTTTCCCCTCTCTCCCATTAGTTATGATAAACTCCATCTCACTATTTGCTCCCAAAGACCCAGTCAACAAGAGCTCCCAGAAATCTCTCTGAGGAACCCCCAGTGGACTGAGAAAGCTTCTTCGGTAGCCCTGATTCTTCTTACACGTTTCTAGTTTCAAAGTTCAGCTTCCCGTTGTATATTCCTGACAGCACTGAAAATTCAACAGGTCCTTATCACCAGTCTCTTAGGTTCTTGCCACAGAAAACTGCTTTTTTTTTTCTGTTTTAGAATGGTGCTACCATTGTATTCCCACAGCAGCAGAAGATGGAAGGTGATTCTGATTCTTCACTCACCTCGCTCCTCACAGCCAGTTTATGATTCAGGCTTCCTCACAAGGAGAGGTCTGTGCTCATTTCTCCAGGGATCCACTTCCCTTTAAATAAGGAACGCTGCTGAAATTATAATGGAGATCTCTTTGCTCTTGGGATATGTCTTCTTTTCAATAGTTGTGGGTTTCCCTTCTCTTCAGTTCCACAGATTTTTAAGGACAAATAAAATGCCCCCCGCCCCCGACCAAAAGACATCTACACAAAATTCCAACCCACAATCGCCTACTTATTTTGGAGCACAATATACTGGTTTGCATATTAAATAAAAGGGGGATGGCAGAAAATGCTAAAGGCTTCACTCTCCCTTCTTCAATCAGCATTAGTGTAGTGCAGTCATTAGAACAAAACACTTATTTTGTTCCAGTTAAAGGTGAAATACATTCAATTTTTCTTTTATCTTTGATATTGCACTAAAGAGTCATGAAAGCCAAGTCTTGAAAAATGCCAAAATAACAACTTTATATAATATAAATACAGACTAAAACATGTAAATGTTATGTATTTTAAAGTCTATGAAAACATACATTTTTTTAAGCAGTCAACTCATTGAAAGATACTAATATTTAAAATAGAAAGTTGTGTTGTCTGCTGAATATGAGACTCTGAGGTATTTGTGAGCGAGAAATTGTCAGGAAAGCAGTAGAACATTTCCTGCCCGTGGGTGCAGTCTTGAGGATTTGTAATAGCCATGACGAATCCAAAAACCATCACCGCAGCACCAATGGGAAGCATGACATAAGACATAATCTTATCGGAGTGTGTCCTTGGTTCTTCAGACAGTTTCAGATAACAGGCTGATGGAATGATAAAAATGAGGGGAGTTGCACAGAGCACACCCTGCATGTTGAAAACAAGAAACAAGATAATGTGACTAGATGGAAACATTCTTCAGACAGCTTTGAAAAGCATTTACAAAATGTGTTTTTCATGCACATGTTAAACATGTGATAGGTTCAGATGAATCAAACAAAGGGAGGAAAAATAATTCTAAGAAAGACTTAGAAATAGGCGTTGCCTTTTCCACTGGCATATTTACAAATGAAAATAATGAAATAGTACAACAGCTTATCGACTTAAGAAAATATTAGCAGAAAATAATATAGAAAATAAAGCAGATAATAGGACTCTTGAAATTTCCTGTATTTTCAGTTCATCGTATTTCCTTATATGCTTCATTAAAACTACCGTGTATCCACTATGCCCTTCAAACATGAATGGTCTGTTTGTCATTTGTGAATAAGAGGGAAATTTTGGGAAATTGTATAGGGGCCACAATGTCTTTCTTCTTTACCTGAGCTTGTATGGAAGTCATGCCTGTCTGTGTGAGAAAGAAAAACCATAACCCTAAGGCATTTAACGTGAAATAGCATTTCTAAATGATCTTTCAAATAAAACTAAGCACATTAATTACTGAGAAAGTTGACAGCAGAGCTAAATGACTATAACTCATTCACCGTTGCCTGCATTATCTAGGAATAAACTCAACCTAAGGAGGAATGTCAGATTTAAAATAATGAGTGGTAGAATTGTCTATTATAAAAAATACCAACAGTTATTGACGTCAAAGGAAGAGACTTTCCCCTTGAGTAGGCCTAATTCGCAACAGAAACTTAGCAAATAATACAAACGTTAACATTTAATACATTTTAGGTAATATGTTTTTCTAATTATGTTAAATTTTAATTATAGTATATTTAACAATGTAACATACATTAAAATTTTATGACCAATATTCTCTTAAACCATAAACCATGTTTTTTAAAAATAAATTTTATTGTGTATATTTGAGGTTTATAACATGATGTCATAGAATACATAAAATGGTTATTGTATTGAACTAACATATCTATCATCTCACATAATTATTTCTTTGGTGATGACAGCAGCTAATATCTACTTATTTAACAAAAGTCCCAAATATAATACAATTTTATAAATTACACCCCTCATATTGTACATTAAATCTGTAGACTTGTTAATCCTACCTATCTGCTACTTTGAATTCCTTGACCTACTTCTCTACATTTCCTCCTTTTGTTTCCTGCCCCTAGTAATCACGGTTTTATCCTTTTATCTCTAACTCTATATATTAGACATTTTAAAAAATATTCCATACATGAGAGAGATCAGGTAATATTTTGCTTTACGTGTCCAGCTTATTTCACTTAACGTTCTTCAGGTCTTTCCATGTTGTGGCTAATGGCAGGATCTCCTTTTTCAAGGCTGAATAATATTCCATGTTATAGACAGATCTATATGACATTCTCTGTATCCATTGATACATCAATGAACACTGAAGTTGTTTCCATCTCTTCACTATTGTGAATAATGCTTCAATGAATATGGGAGTATAGATATCTTTATGAGGTGATGATTTAATTTTTTTTGAGTATATACCCATAATAGAGATTCCTGGGTCATATGGTGGTTCTATTTTTAATTTCTTTAGGAACCTCCATTCTGTTTCCCATATTGACTATTCCAATGTACATTCCCACCAGCAACGTACTAAGGTTCCCTTTTCTCCACACTTCTGTCAACATTTGTTATTTCTGTTCTTTTTGATTATAGCCATCCTAAAGGTTATGAAGTGATATTGTCTAGTGGTTTTAATTTGCGTTTTCCTGATGATTAATGATGTTGAGCACTTTTTCGTGTACCTATTGGCCATTTTCATGCATTCTTTGGAGAAATATCTGCTAAGGTCCTTTGCCCATTTTTTAATCAAGTTAATCATTTTTCTGCTATTGAGTTATTAGAATTATTTGTAACTTTTTTATAGTAACCCTTTATCAGTCAGACAGTTTGCAAATATTTTTTTCCCAATCTGTACGTTGTCTTTTCATTTGTTCTTGTTGTTTTTTCACTGCAGAGGCCTTTTAGTTTGATGTAGTCCTATTTATTTATTTTTGGTTTTATAGTCTGAGTTTTTAGTGTGATATTCAAAAAAATCATTTCCAAGGCTAATATAAAGGAGCTTTTACCCTATGTTCTCGTCTAGGAATTTTAGTTTCAGGCCTTACATTAAGGTATCTTATCCATTTTGAATTGATTTTTGTGTATGGTGTAAGATCAGGGTCCGATTTCACTCTTTTGCATTTGGGAATCCATTTTTTCCAGCATCATTATTGAAGACTATCCTTTCCCTATTGTGTCCTCTTAGTGCCCTTATAGAAAATTAGTTGACCCTATATGTTTGGATTTATTTCTTGGCTCTCTTTTATGTTCCATCAGTCTATATTTGTGTTTTTATGCCAGTACCATACTGTTTTGATTACTGCAGCTTTGTAATATCATTTGAAATCAGGAAGTGTGATGCCTCCAACTTTATTTTTCTTTTCAATACAGATTGTTTTTTCTATTTCTGTGAAGAATGCCATTAGAATTTTGATAGGAATTATGTTGAATTTGTATATTGCTTTGGGTAGTATGGACATTTTAACAATATTAATTCCATTCACAGGATATCTTTCCATTTATTTATATATTCCATTTATTTGTGTCTTTTTCAATTTCCTTCATCAAGATTTTATAGTTTTCAGTATACAAATTTTTCACCTCTTTGGTTAGATTTATTCCAGTATATTTTTTGATGCTATCACAAATGACATTGTTTTCTTGATTTCCTTTTCAGCTAGGTTATTATTTGTGTATAAAATGCTACTGATTTTTGTATGTTGGTTTTGTATCCTGCAACTTTACTGAATTAATTTATCAGTTCTAACACTATTTTTGGAACCTTTGGGGTTTTCTACATATAGGATCATGTCATCTGCAAATAGAAATAATTTTACTTCTTCTTTTCCAATTTGGAAGCCTTTTATTTCTTTTTCTTGTCTGATTGCTCTTGCCAGTACTTCCAGTACTATGTTGAAGAGAAGTGGTGTGTACTTCCAGTACTATGTTGAAGAGAAGTGGTGAGAGTGGGTATCCTTACCTTTTACTGGATCTTAGTAGAAAAGCCTTCAGTTGTTCCCTATTAATTATGATGTTAGCTGTGGGTTTTTCATAAATAGCCTTTATTATGATGAGGACTTTTCTTTCTCTAAACTGCTAAGAGAGTTTCTGTCAAGAAATGATGCTAAACTTTGTCAAACTCTTTTTCTGCATCAGTTGAGATAATCACGTGTTTTTTGTTTTCTCTCTCTCTCTCTTTTTTTTTTTAAATTTTTTTTTTTTATTTTTTGAGACAGGGCTTCACTCTGTTGCCTAGGCTAGAGTGCACTAGCATGATCACAGTTCAGCCTTGACCTCCCAAGCTCAAGTAATCCTCCCACCTCAGCATCCTGAGTTGCTGAGACTACAGGCACATGCTACCATGCCTGGCTAATTTTTTTGCAGAGACGAGGTCTCACTACGTTGCCACAGCTTGTCTTGAACTCCTGAGCTCAAGTGATCCTCTTGTCTTAGCCTCCCAAAGTGCTAGGATTACAGGTGTGAGCTACTGCACCCATCTGATCATGTGGTTTTGGGTTTTCATTCCCTTAATATGACATTTCACAAATGTTGTTCTCTGAAATAATAAAATGTAAGTTTTTAATATATAAAATCAATAACAAATGTGATTATTACTTTACAACTAAATGCAAGTTTTCATAAACTATGTTTTTCTAAATTTAAAAGTTAATTTGTAAGCATATACAAAAGTAGAAAGAAATAGTATAATGAAAATCTATGCAACTATCACCTATGGTTTAAAAGCTTTTTGACACATTATTTTGGTAAATTTTCTCCAGGGAAAATAACAGCAAAGTGAATTTGAAGTTGGATGATGTAAAATTATAAATTGTACCTTAAAAATAGCTTTAAAATAACCATATTCTCACATCAGTTAATAAAATTGCTGTGTGTTTTATACAAAGCAATCTCTCCATACCAGAAATATTATGACTATGATCCCAATTATACAACTTTTTGAATTTTTACAAAAACAAAAGTATCCAGAGAAAGAGTAGTAGGGACCACACTGCATGGAAAATATTTCCAAAGTAAGAGACATAAGAATGAGAAAATACTAAAAAATACCAAAATCATGTTCTAATTTAGAGTATATGGAAAATATACTTTTGCCATTCATAGCACCTGAATACAAATGAATATCTACAAAGGTACACAAAAAATAAACAATTAGTTGTTATATGACTAGAATGAAATGCATTATGGATTCCATAGATTCTATCATAATATTTGGAATTAACAGTGCTTTTTAAATTATGAAAGATACTGTAACACTTGGTCTGTATTTATAACAAAAAGTATTACCCTCTGATTTCTTTAAAATAACAATTTATGAAAACAACAAAAAGTAATTCAAATACAAATATGTGTATGTGTGTGTGTCTGTATATGTGTGTGTGTGTGTGTGTTGTAGTCTCCTCTTTGTAGGCACAAACATGTGGCTAATTCATCTGGAACTGTAGATTGTGAAAGTACTGTCAGAATGAAAACTGCCCCCAGCTTCTGCTAAGAAGCTGTCATCAGTCAGCCTTTTGGTATTCTTCCAAACTTAACTTGCTGGGCAGCGCGAAGCAATGGGTGTTCTGTTTGTTATAATTCTTAAGTGTTGAGAAAGTAGCAATTAGAGGAAAGACTATATAGCTCATATTTCTACTAGAAGGATTCCGGTTGAGTATCTTGTTTAGATACCAGCTACTTTCTTGATATTTAAAAACTCAATCTTACTAAAGGTTGTTGCTAGAAGTCAAGATCAGGGGTAAAATGATAGTGTGGTCGCATCTGATCTATTCCCTACCAACTAGTCCAGATTATTTGCTCTATTTAATTAGTCTTGCTTAGGGATACACCACTGGCTTTGGAATAATTTTTGAAATTGCTTGACAGGATGTAAAACCATAACTGCTTATTAAAAAGACAATAAAATATAGTCCAATTTATAAAGGCGGGATAATACTTATTAATTGATAACAACACTATGGATGTCAGGGCATTTTGCAGTTTGCTGGAGAGAAAGGACAGAAGCTATTGAAAATTTTTATTGCCTGTACAGATTGAAAAAGTGTCTGAATTTTCCTACCTGAATAGAAATTTCTCAAATGATGCAAGGAAGCTGGAAACTAAATAAAATAATGCTTATACATCTTTTAAATTTCTACTTAATAATCAATCTAAACTCATGAAATTCACTCCAATACTTCAAAAAGAAACTCTCTCTTGCTCAGGGAGTCTTTGGCAATTGGAACTATGGCTTGCTCACCCCAAAGACTGTATTTCTCTATCTGGGCCCTTGCTGGCATTTGGCTTGCTTTCTTCCTTCCACTGTAAACCACACATAAGGCTTGTTGAGCTGGTTACGCTGGCCACAGGCACCAGCTGCTTCATTTTCTCTCTTTGTACTGCTGCAAGTAGAAACCCATAGGGCCCAATTACTGCGGATGCCTCTTTTCTCCAATAGCAACATTAGTGCTAAGATGCTGGATTCTTGTCACCAAGAATAGTGCTTATATTTATTTGATTTGCTTCTAAAATGAAACCTTTAAAACTTAGTGTGTGTTTGCTTTGGAAAAATATTTCACTGTTGTCTACTGCCATGCAAACAAGAAAAAAAAGGAAAGCAAAGTTCTATTTTTTTAATTTAATAACTAATATTACCTCAATTCATTTTATTCTATCTTATTTGGTGATACTAAATAGTAGCATTTCCTTACTTTGCAAGACCTGATCCATCTCATCTGTGAAGCTCATTATTCTACTTATTCAGAAGCCAAAATAAAAAAGAATTCCTAAAGTACTAAAATTGTTATCTAAGATAAAAGCTATTAACTACATTTCTAAAGTCCTACAATTACTAAGATGAAAGTTATTAACTAAAAATTATTAAGACAAAAACCTTTTAGTTTCATTTTATTTCATCTCCTGGTACGTTTTAACCCATTATTAAAGTTTATCCATATGTATCATAGATTACTCTTAACCTTTCTTATAGATAAACTCAATGCATAGATATTATAACTTTAGAAAGTGGATAGAGAAATAAGCATAATCATTTTACACAATTAAAAATCTAATGCTTAGAAAATCTCAGAGTAGTGTAATGGTTTAAAATGTGAGCTTTAGGGTCCAAATGCCTGTGCTCAAATCTGAATTTTTTTACTTGTAACTAGTATGACCTCAGACTATTTAATCATGCAGTGCCTTAGTTTCTTCATCTGTCAATTTAATATAGATAAAAGGAGATGATACTGTAAAGCACCTGGTACAGAGTAAGTACTCAATACATGGTAGCTCACATCATTATTGTTGTTATTATTATTATTATTATTATTATTCATTTTTTATTTTTTAAGATGGAGTATTGCTCTGTTACCCAGGCTGGAGTGCAGTGGCGCAATCTTGGCTCACTGCAACCTCTGCCTCCTGGGTTCAAGCAATTCTCCTCTCTCAGTCTCCCAAGTGGCTGGGACTAGAGGCATGTGCCACCACACCCAGCTAATTTTTTTTTTTTTTTTTTTTTTTTTGTATTTTTTAGTAGAGACAGGATTTCACCATGTTGACCAGGCAGGTCTTGAACTCCTGACCTCAGGTGATCCGCCTGCCTCAGCTTCTCAAAGTGCTAGGATTACAGGCATGAGCCACTGCGCCCTGTCCACATTATTATTATGAAGTGGAGCACAGCATGCTTTATGTTATTTCTAAAGTGTTGCATGATCCAGCATGTATTAGTTACTAACAGACATGACGCTTGATTTGGCTCTATTAGACATGGTAAGTATCCACACAAAAAAGAGTTGAGTAAAGATGTGAATACGTTCTTATGCACACCAAAAGACGTACTGATGTGGAAAACACTTATTCTCAGGTGGTCTGAGAATGGAGATCCTAGAGTTTATTAATTCTTACAAAGTGCCTTAAAACTAGTGTAATTGTCTTGGGCTATCAGGTCATAACAATTTGGCACTCTAATTTTTAACGTATGTCTATATAATCAGGTTTTAAAAACATCTAAAGATCTAGTCTTTGGCCTATGCAAAATTGGGAAGAAGGTAAAAGTTACCTTTGACACTTGCTTACTTTCCTATGAGCTTTCCTTCCACTGTTGGTAGAATAGATAATTACCAGTCTCCTGAGGTTTTGGAAACTGCTTACTCCTCACTTTCCATTTACAAGAAAGTCCCCAGTAGGGTCCCTGAATGAATTCCCTCCTGCCTTTGTATGGAATTTCAAATTAAAATGGTATCTGGATGATATAGTAACTTGGGCATTGACACTAACACCTTCACCTATGCCTCAATTCTCAATGAAATGAGTAAATGATGACTTGGGATCCCATCTGTATGGGTTTGCCCTCCCTGTGGTGCATGACCAATAAATGCTAACCGGTGGGTGATTCCGATGAGAAATTCTGTAAGGATTGAGAAGATTAGCCACTTTGTAGTGGTAGAACAACTTCCCTTCCTATCTTAGCAAATGGTATAATTATTCTAGTTCCACAAAATAAAACCAAGATGTCATTCTGCTCCCGTCTTCGCAATGGAATCTGTGTCACCAAATTGTGCCAATCTTTTCTCAAAAATGTGTTTTGGGAATCCATTCATTTCCCTCTGTCTTCTTCTTCTTTTTCTTTTTTTTTTTTTTTTGAGACAAGGTCTCACTCTGTTGCCCAGGCTGAAGTGCAGTGGTGCCATTGCAGCCCACTGAAACCTCTACCTCCTGGGCTCAAGCAATCCTCTCATCTCAGCCTCTCGAGTAGCTGAGACTACAGGCACGTGCCACAAAACACAGCTAATTTTTTGTAGAGACGGGGTTTCACTATGTTGCCCAGGCTGATCTCCAACTCCTGGGCTCAGGCAATCCATCCACCTTGGCCTCCAAAAATGCTCAGATTACAGTGTGAGCCACCATTCCCAGCCTCCTCTGTCTTCATCACCTATATTGCAGTTGAACTTTTATGTTTATTTGTGAGAATGCATAGATCCTTTCTTATCACATTCATCCTTATATTCTATTGTGTGGCACATAGTAATTAATAAATACTTGATCAGTGAATAAAGGAATTAGAAGTTGCACTGGATCTTAAAGTCTTTGTAAAATGTAGACAAAAATGAAAGAAAAATAATTGTTATAGGAAATAAAAAGCAGATAAGACTAAGAATAATAGAAAGAATTGATATGGCTTTTTCACAGGCCAAAAAATAAGACTGACTAGAGCTGAGCATAGATTTTTGGGAAGTAAATGGGAAATAGTTTTACATAGAAGACAAGATTGTAGAAGCAACAGAATTTATACTTGCTCTGGTAGGAAAATGCCGGTAAACTGAAAGCAGAACTTAAATATATGATAGTTGAAACAGAGCTGGGATTAATTCAACTGTGATATTATGAGGACTTCTATTTGGATGATGGCAGTGCAGACTATAAAAGAAAGGTCTGGAGAGAGAAAAATATGTAAATAAAAAGAAATTGTGTCATAGCAAGTGAATGGATATAACTTGAATCCTTTCATATTTTTCATAAATTTCACTAGATATATTATTTTTCAGCAAAGTCCATAGTCCCTTAATTTATAGCTATTTTTAGTAACATTTATGTGTTGTAGTAAATGAGATATACAAAAGATAAACTATAAACCAGAGTTTCTCAATCTCAGCACTATTGACATTTTGGATCAGATAATTCTTTGCTGTAAGAGGCCTGCACATTGTGGCATGTATATCCCTGTCCTCTGCCCACTCGAAGCCAATAGCACTGCCTACCCAGTTGTGACAACCTTATAGGTCTCTAAACAACCACTGCTTTAAAACTATATAGTTCCATAAAGTGCACAGAATCATCATTGAAAATATTTACTATTATAAACATATTTTCATTCCACTTCAAAAGTGATACTTTTGTTAAGGAAAATAAATCTTATGTTAAATGTAATCATTATCTTTTACAGAGAATTTTAGAGTGAAGGGGTAAATCTTAGAATGTACTCACATTGAGTTCTAAAACTATCCCAAGGCAATCAATCAGCAATGACACAAGCGTGGCTACAGTGATGACCATCACTGTTACAACAATGTGGAAAACCGACGAAAGATTCCCACCAAAAAACACATTGGCAATTACCTGCCAAATAAACAGATTATTTTGAGAGGGACTTTTAAAGGCATGCAGGATTTGTAGAGGGAGTATTTCACAATGGTCTTTAGGAATGTATAAAATACCACCAACAAGGCTATTAATCAAATCTCAAGTCACTAGGAATGTTCTATCTTTTCCAAAGTACTTACATATAGACACACATATCAATAACAAGTACTCTTTGTTGAACTATCAGTCAGTGGATTACATTACAGACCTATAGTGTGGCATACCGATGTTTCAATACCTGTATCTTTCAAGTATAAGAGAGACTTTGGAAAGTTATCTTATCCTTATTTCTTGAGTCCAACAGGTTACTACTTAAACAAACTAAACATGCTATTTAGATTATTTGCAGGGCTTCTAAGAAATAGCTGTCACATTTCCCTTATTAATACTGTATGTGTAATATCCTTTACTAACAGGAAATTAATTCTGTATAAACTAATTCCTATTTGTTACAATTTAAGTCTATTTTATCTTGCCTTTCCTCAACAAAAATGGGAAAGAGTTCATCACCATTTTTCATGACTACTCAGATCAGGAAAGCAATAAAACATTACCGACTTAATGTGTCCCATACTGTGATATGGTTTGCAAAGATAAAATGTCAGGGAAATGATTCCTATTCTCAGGAATTAATTCTTGGAGGCATACAACCAAACTTAAAAAAGCAAGTAGAGATCAATTTATAACAGGACAAAAAAGATCAAAGAGGATTTAGGACTAGAAGGAGCTTTAGGTATCTAGAGCTGTCTCCTTAGAGTAATCTCCTTTACAGCATCCCTGAAATATGCTTGACCTACCTTGGCTTGAGGTAGGGCTTGAAACATGCACAGGATTTGGAGCAGAATTACAGGCTGAGACAAGAGCATGAAAAAGAGCAAAGAAGTAAGAACAGGAACAATACCTATGGAGGATAAAGAGAAGATAGTCTGAATAAGTAGTGACCCTGTGCAAAAGAACAGTGAGACAAGAGTTGGAAATGACAGAAGTTCAGATACTGAGGTATCATAAAGAAGCCATCTCTCTAAGCAGTGCTGCCTGGATATGCAACATCTCCCACGTGTCACATACCACCATGACTTTGTTAATAACTTAATGGTGATATTAATAACATAAGTTGTAATGTCTCTCCAAATAGTATCTTATTTAAGATCCGTTCTTACAGATGCCTCTATGATATCCTTGTGAGAGTGAAAAAATCCCTTAGTGAGGCAGCTAGTAAGAGATATTTATTAAGGGTAGACAGCCTTTTTAGTGCTTTTATGAATTGAAACAGTTTGATTATATTTTTGTCAGTCGTACATTTGTGTGTGTACGTGTGTATGCATGTAGAATAAAGAGCAAGAGAAGGGAAAGTTATAGACACCATTCCTCTGCTGAGTCTTTGCTACTGTGGCAGAGATCTTGATTCAGTTCTGTCTTCCTGCCACTGCAGCTGGAAAGGAAACTCAAGTTTCAAGTACTAAAGACAGAAGTTGTGCAGGTGAAGTGACTCAGCCCGTCTGTAGGGAGTTTACCAGCAACCATGTGAGAATGCACCATCTGTTCTTACTTGTGGATCTAGAGATCAGATTTGAACCTACGTACTGGGCAGAAGCTAAAATAATACCATTTCCTGAAACTAACAATAGCTAGTAAAGTTTCAAAAGGCTCTTAAATTTAAAAAAAATTAGTTCAGTCTATTACTCCTTCATAGTCAAGGTAGAGAACTGGCCTGTGAGTTGTACATGTGTGAGGGAGAGAAGTACTAGTTGTAAAGGACATACACAGTGCTGAACATTTCCCTCTTCTGCTTCCCTGTGCAGTCAGTTCCTTATCACTGGGACTGACTTAAAGTAAGCCCTGGCTTGCCTCAAGAAGCCTGCTGATAACTTAGTGTATTTAAAGCTCTGTAGATATTTCACTTCTCTCATTAGACCCTTTCACATGGTGCACTGTGTAAACAGCCTCTAAGAACAGATCCTAGATCTGAGCCCTTTTCAGTGTGGTCCCTGAAAGATCCACTGTGAAGCCACATCACATTTTACTGCTCACTGGTAGAGTGGATTTTCAGCTGACAGCATAAGGGATTCCTGACGGCCATGTTATCTAATTTACACCAAATAATGAATTCTTTTTCAGAAAATATTTCTCTACAAATCCAAGTGGAATATATAACACAATTTAGAGCTGACTTTGACAATACATGTATATGTAAATAATATCCTATATATTTGTTATATTATTATTTTATGTTATGTATAGTTGTAAATATATACATCTACATGTATAAATACATAAATAAAATATATCTGTAAAACTAAAAGTTTCAGTTGAGCTTTGGTTCTCTATGGAATATAAGATATTTTAGTTTTTAAAAAATAACAAAACTGGCTGGGCGCGGTGGCTCAAGCCTGTAATCCCAGCACTTTGGGAGGCCGAGACAGGCGGATCACGAGGTCAGGAGATCGAGACCATCCTGGCTAACACGGTGAAACCCCGTCTCTACTAAAAAATACAAAAAACTAGCTGGGCGAGGTGGCGGGCGCCTGTAGTCCCAGCTACTTGGGAGGCTGAGGCAGGAGAATGGCGGGAACCGGGGAGGCGGAGCTTGCAGTGAGCTCAGATCTGGCCACTGCACTCCAGTCTGGGCAACAGAGCGAGACTTCGTCTCAAAAAAAAAAAAAAAAAAAAAAACCAAAACCAGTTAGAATCTGTAGATTCTACAGTGCCTTTAATACATGTTGACTGATAAAACATCTAATCAAAAAGACAGTTTTGTAAAACATGTTTTAAACATTGGTACTTAATTTCTTTGTAAGAATGCCTTAAAAGCAACAACTTTAGTTTGGCTGTTGCTAAAGGTTGGCAGTCACTTTGGAATGCAGTTGTATAAATATCTGTGCTCATGGTAATATAAGCCAAATCCACCAAACCTAATTTTCAAACCCAACGTTTGAAAAACTGTCTTGTAAACATCTGAATATAAATTCATCTTTAAACTACATAAATGACTACATTTTACAGTCAAAAAAGAAAATTTTATGAATTATACCATTTGTCATGCCCTTGGGAATTTGCCAAACTGTATTATTTATAAATCTTCCTAAATTAAACGTGGCAGAGAGATCACCTGGGTAAAGCGTTGGGAAGGAACTGTGCTTACCTCTCTTGTCACAAAGCATTCCATAGGGTATGTCAAAATGACAGTGACACCATAACAAAATCTTCCAAATGTTACCAGGTCATCATTTCTGCAGTAATTTTCAAATAAGTCTCCTAGATAATAATATAAAATAAGCTCATTTACTAGATACTAAATGTTTGAGATAACTATCTAATAAATGAAATATTAGATATTACAGTCATGCATCACCTAATGGCCCACATATATGATAACAATGCTGTATGTTTACTGTATTTTTTCCATGTTTAGATACATAAATACTTTCCATTCTGTTACAGTTGCCTACATAATTCAGTACAGAAACATGCTGTACAAGTTTATAACCTAGGAGCAATAAGCTATACCATATAGCCTAGATGTGTAATAGGTGCTACCATCTAGGTTTACGTAAGTATACTGTATGATGTTTGCACGATGAGGAAATCACCTAACAATGCACTTCTCAGAATGTTTCCCTGTCATTAAGCAACACATGACTTGTAAGTGAATCTCCATAAACTTCATTTCATATAATTAAGAGAATAGATGACCAGGTCTAAATACAAGTTTTTGAATCCAATAACTATGTAGTTTTTCACTGATTTGAACCAGTATATGCCCCATGTGAAGATAAATCCATCACTGATAGTTTTTCTCTTATTAATCGTTTTTGGTAGATTTGCTGCAAATTTGTACTGACTTCTGAAAAAGACTTTATCCATTGTCTTCTTACATCAGAATCAACTCCCTAATTCTTGGGCACTGGCTTTGTAAACTGGTTTCTGGTCTTTGTTTCTGGTGAGTAAGTGACTTCATTATTTTTTAAAAATGTCTGTTAAAATAAACAAATTTCCTTTTGAAATGCTATTCTTAGATCCAGAACAATCCTGAAAGGAAGAGTAGACCAGTACATCTGGGGAGCTGAATTTCCTGTGTATCATACTATAGGGTTTCATTGCAACCTTGGGCCCACAGCAAGAAATTCCAAACATATGTTGCCTTTCATGGCATCTCATGAGCCCAAGTGTAAATGCAGTGATTCAAAACTGTGAAAATATGGCTATGTCCCAGAAAGAACATTAAATTTAATAAGTTCCAGACTAGATGATGGACTAAATAGACCTTGAAACAATTCTTATTTAGAGACTATATTTCTCAGCTGCCTATGAAGAAATACAGGGATCTAACTAGGGCGCAGATGTCATGTCATCAAAAAACAATTACCTACAACTGTACAGTAGTCCATGGAAGAAATAAAAAATAAATAAATAAATAAAACAATGACTAATGCTGAAACAGAGTATTTAGGCTTGCTTATTTCCTGAATATAACACGCTTAGATGTTAAAATTGTGGTTACCTTTTTAAAATTAAACTTAATTGAAAATTAGGTCAAAGTCACTCAATACTACACCATTTAAAAAGAAGAAAAACTATACCTCTGAACTGTTTTTTTTTTTTTTCATTACAAAGCTGAATATCCTAAATAATTTGCCTCTTCCCAAGATTTACTTGAAGTGGCTCTCTCCCCTCCCCCCATCAACTAGAACAAATCTACATTACTTTAGAACATCCCTTTCGGGCAGGAGGGGATTAAAACACAAAGGTGGCAGAAACCTGCTTCAAGGTTGACTGAAAAGATTCCAGTACTCTAAGAAAAAAAGACTGAAGTTCCCCGTTCACTAACCTCCACTAAAAAAAACAAGCCCTACCGTCTTTCCGATAGAAATGTCAGGGAGAATCTTGAGTTCCCACTGCCTCAAAAGCTGAAATTTATCTACTGAAAGAGGTTAGAAAAGAAGAATGCAGTATACACAAGTTAGACTAGATTTACCCAAGGAGAGGTGGCCTGGAGAAACAATATCAGCTTATTGCAGCTTGAATCCAAGTATATTTTAAAGAATTACAGCTAGGGGGGAAATGACATCAAACATCTGTCAGCTTTGTTTTATAAAGATTTAATTATATCTGAGCAATTACCACTGACAAAAGCTCCAGGAAGATATAACTAACAAAAAAGGTTTATGTCTTACAGAAAAGGCATTTAAAAACGAACGTCCTGTAGGGACCACAGCCCACAGGCCATTTGCATTGGCAAACTATGTAGCAATAGTGACACATGGCAATGCTTTGGAACACAATTCTTATCAGAACTTTCAAGGTCACTTTGTTACCACACTCTAGTGGCACATGCATGTATCATATTTTTGACTGCATTTGAATTTTGTTAATCATTATTTTTTGAAGTCATCTTCCTTCATTTCCTGAGAAATATCTGCCTAAAATCATAGTGATCTGTAACCTCTGTTCAGAATAAGGCAGCCATCCTTCCAAGAGCACCCAAGTTTTCAGAAAACTAAGCTAATGGGAGCTGAGGCAAAGGCACAACTTTCAGAGGGTCACGGTTGACCAAAATAGGGGAGGCAGAAAGAGGATGGAAAGAAAATTGAATCTGAGAGTCAGAAGACTTGTTTTCTGGTTTGTCACCAGCCAGCATGAGCGAGTTACTTCATCTCTTTGTGTTTTAATCAGGGGGTAGAACTAGTTATTCCACTTCCCTTCAAAGGGTTATTTGAAGGTCAATGAGATAATAGACCTGCAAGAGCTGGGAAATACGTGAATCGCAGCCTATTGCTGGACTATCCTGAATATTACACTACATTGATGATTGAATGTAAGGGTCAAGGGAAGTAGAAGAGAGGACTGCTCAGTTGCTGGGCCTGGGTGAATGCAAAAACAGAGAGAAGTATCTTTGGAGGGAGGAAGAAAAGGTCTGGTTTTAAGGGAAACATCATGTTTTGTGATTAAAACAAATACAGAACAACTGAGTAGAAATGTCCTACAGGCAGCAGGTTGGAGACAAAGAGAAAGGTCTGGGTTAGAGTCAAAACAATGAAAATATCTGGAAAATTGTTTGAGAGAAGAGCAAACAATATGCTTGAGACCTTTATCTGGGTGGTGTGGGATGGAGTGGAGTGGGAGATGAGAGAGGGTACAGAAAAAGAAAAGAGAGAAAAAAATTAACAGAGAGAAAGAATAACAATGAAAATATAGTAATACTCTTTCCTCTAAGGGAGGAAAATTTGAGCAAAGAAAGGAAGTTCAGTATTGGTAAGTGATTCAGAGAGATTCAGGAGAATCCAAATCGAGGTTGTTTGAAGATTGGGAGGCCACTGGTACCTTTGAAAATCGGCCGGGCGCGGTGGCTCAAGCCTGTAATCCCAGCACTTTGGGAAGCCGAGACGGGCGGATCACGAGGCCAGGAGATCGAGACCATCCTGGCTAACACGATGAAACCCCGTCTCTACTAAAAAAATACAAAAAACTAGCCGGGCATGGTGACGGGTGCCTGTAGTCCCAGCTACTCGGGAGGCTGAGGCAGGAGAATGGCGTAAACCCGGGAGGCGGAGCTTGCAGTGAGCAGAGATCCAGCCACTGCACTCCAGCCTGGGTGACAGAGCGAGACTCTGTCTCAAAAAAAAAGAAAAAAAGAAAAAAAAGAAAATCAAGCTGCAGTGGAGGAAAGCCAAAAGTCATGTCCTGGGAAGTGACAGTGTGTAGAAGGAGAGAGTATGGGCTACAGAACTAAATTGAGCAGTTTAAAAAGGTAAAAATTAGGAAATAGCAGGGGGGCAGGAGGATAGAGAGAATGGGTGGAAGAGAGTAATCTTGGAAATAGAACACTGGGCATACTTGTACAATAAGGAGTAGAACATTGGGTATTCCGGTACCAACGCACATCAACACTATAACTGAATCTCTCACTTTACCTTGGGTGAAGCCAGTAAATGTCAAGTATCCACATGTAGCAAAGAATATACAGATAAATACAGAAATCACGATGGACATATGGATAAGGCGGGACCACTTAGCTACTGTGGGTTCTTCTAAAGAACTGTAAACTAAGAAGGAGTTATGGTGGCAAATAAATGCTGCAATACAAAAAAAAAAAGCATTATTAAAGCAAGCATCAGGGTTTTCTTTTTTAGTTCTGAAATTCAGAGACATGTACTACTTTAGATGCCAATGAACTGCAGTTTAAATATACAAATTTATTAATATGTCAGCAAATAATTTTTCTAATAGTTCTAGAAATGAGACCATTCACTTCAGGTTTATATGGTCTTTTCACGTCACTCTTGATATAAACCAGGCCAGTCCAACCTTCTCTCCCATTTTCCTTTTCCTAATGACCCTTCCCATCTTAAGGAAAATCTAAATACCATCATTTTCATTCTGTGGCTTCCTTTGCCATTTGGGACATAATAAAGGGTTTAAAGAAGTCCATAACACTTGCTAGCTTTCCAAGTTAAGAAACAAGATGACTGTAATGAGTTTTCTGCATGAGAAATAGATTTCTTCAAATTGAAGCAAATTTTAGTGATGAGTGAGAAAAGTTTGAGCCTAATTTTATATTGGCACAAACTAGATCATATGCTGCTAATAGGAAGTCTAAAACTTAGGACATCTGCTATCCAGACATAAATATGAAACATAGCACTTTTTTCATGGAACATAGAACTCCACATTGAGAAAGGGCCTTTGAAACCAAATACTCACCAAAAGACATAACCCCGACCGCTTGAATGGCATTGGGCTTTGCAAATACCCAAGCATCTTCTGTTTTTGGTCTAGAAGAAAAATCAGTTAACTTGATAAATTATTAAATAAATTCAAGCATCAGTATATCAGATAACAAGAAATAGTATCACAAATATAAACTGAGTGTCTTTAAGCCAGAAATTAATAAGGGGCTCCCATTAATCTTGTGTCACCATGAATACATTTCCCAGGAGCATGAGTGTTATCTCTTAACCCCAGTCCTCTAAAATGTATCTCAAATACTTGGACGGATTCTATTTTTACATATGTAAAATATCCAGACTCTGTAATCTTGTGAATTTGTTTATTTGCTCATCAATTTAACAGAAAGCACTGATTATACACCCACCAGTGAAGCTACTTTTTGAGGGAGATAGAAAAATTAATAATGCCCAGTTACTGCTGTTCATTCTGCCCTTATTTTTTTCAGGCTTAACCTATCCAAGAAAAATTTAGTTGGCACTAAAATTTATTGAGGGAGGTAAACATGAACTAATACTAATTGAGGATGTACTATCTTCTAGAAACTCTACTGTGTTATCTCATTTAATTTTCACAATAACACTTAAGAATTATTATCACCATTTAACACATGAAGAAAATCAAGCTCTGGATGGTGATATAGTTTGCCAAGCTTCCACAAATAATGAGTGAAGAAGCTGAGATTTATCTTCTTGGTTTATTCATTGCCATATTTTTTCCGGGCTGTACCATCTGACAGTGGCCTCAAATTCCCACCTGTAGATATATTTCTCAAGGGTATTTTGGAAATACATGCACTTTAAACAGCTTGAAACAGGCTACATCCTAGTGGAATTAAAATATTTGATATTGGCAGTGATAGGTGTACCTGGCTAACACACGCTGAGTAATGATGAACAGCAGAGGCTCTAAGGTCATTAGCCTAAATTGTTCTTCTGGCCTCCTTCCACTTATTAGCTGTGTGATTTTAGGCAAGTTACGTGACTTCTCTGTGCTTCAATTTCAACATCTATAAATTGAGGATAATTGTAGTATCTAACTCATTAAGTCACTGTGTAGATTAAATGAGATAAAATATGTAAAACTTCTGGAAGAGAGTTTATCACATAGCACGTGTTCAATCAACAGTCATTAGTATTAATATTATTATCCAGCATTATTAATAAAGGTAGCAAAAAGTCTAAAAGTATGGTCAACTTCCTTGGGAAGGGAAGGCTCGAGTGAGACTCAGAACAATGCATGAAGAATGGAACAGGGAGATTCCTAGGAAGCATGAAAAGGCACTGGGTGTTTTCAATAAAAAACAGGAATTCATTCTAAAGATGAAGACCCATTTATTTCATAAGTTTGTTTATTCATTCTCTGTGTAAAGAAGGTACACACAAAAAAATCATGTTTGTTGTCCACACCTTGTGGGGTTTATGCATTATGTTATCTTTTTTCCCATATATGAAACAAGCAGTTACAGACACAAAGAAACTTTACAGAAAGGCTGGCCTGTAAGGGTAGGCCACGGATTGTTGTAAGACTTGCTCCAAGTCCCAGTTTTGGGAGTGGGAACTACTGCCACCTGCTGCCTCCACTACTCTAAATGCAGTCGACATTAAAAGCAGCATAACCTGTTAAATTCCAAAGTTAATGTGAAAAAAATACATATTTTGTACATGATCCTTAGAAAATGATTTAGATCAGGCAGCTCTAACAGTTGTAGAAACTTGAGGATTCTCTAACTTTACAATATGTTTTAAATGGTATGCTTTCCCTCTTATGGTTTTTGCACTTGGAAAATATTCCCTCTTACTCCCCAACCCCAGTACAGATTGTGGTGGTGTCCTACTTTTTAAATCTTATATTAGTAATAAAATGTAGAAGTTTAGTTTTCATTTTTTCTCTTCCATTTAAATTTTTTCCTTAGGTCCATATGGTTCCTTGGGTATATTCCCGGAGTGTGAAACAATACCTAGAGATAATTTTGGATTTTCTCTGTTCATCATAATGATGATGATTTTATAAGATGGAAAGTGCCAAAAAAGATGTTACAGATAGGAAAATGCATATGTCTAAATCTAGGGAAAGAGAAGGAAACAGATATTGAATATGGCTTTCCAATCATTTATAAAATAGCCTACAATTGAGTTCCAGATACAACCAGTTGTACAGGAAAAAAAAAGAGAGAGAGAGAAGAAAGTTCTTGGGTATATTTTATGAGACTGCTGAAACTTTGAAACTCAACCTGGATGAAAACATAAAGTTATAGACCTTTTGACTTTAAACTGTAAATGTTGAAATATGAAATAAAATGTTTTCAAATGCCATCAAGCAATTTATAAGATAAGGAATTATGACTGAATTTTGTTCAACAAATGCAAGGGGAGTTTAATAACAAAATATTATAATCAATATTTATTAATAGCTGTTATATTAATAGATATTAGTGTAATTTACCACATTAACAGATGAAGGAAAGAAGCTTATGACCATTTCAAAATATATAGAAAAGCATACAGCTCAGTATTTATTTTGAAAAACATGCTGAGCAAACTAATAATAAAATAGAACTTGCTTTACTGGATAAGGAATGTCCACCAAATCCTACAGCAAATGACATACTTAAAAGTGAAAAGTTAGAAATATTCTACTTAAGGGATGAAATCAGATAGGATATTCAATATCACTGCATTCAGAATATATTATTGATATTCCTAGCTAATTCAATAAAATAAGTGATGTGTAATCATTGAAAAGATTGTGTAAATTATTTGTGCACAATATAATTACGCATATGGAAAATAAGCATATTCAGCAAGGTTACTGGATACAAGTTCAATACACACAAAACATCAAGTGGGTGGATGTACACTAACAACAACCAAATAAAATGTTTTTTTAAGTGTCAGTGACAACAAAAACACTAAATACTTTAAAAGACGTGCATGATGTTAATGTCATGTTAAACTTTTATTTAAAGACACAAATAAATGGAGAAATACACCATATCCATACATACAAATGGGAAGACTCAATATCATATAAACATCAATTTACCCCAATTAATTTTTAAATTCAAATATAATAAAATACAGAAAAAAATAAATCAAAGAATAAAATACAATATTGAGGCTGGGCATGATGGTTCACGCCTGAAATCCCTGCACTTTGGGAGGCCGAGGCAGAAGGATTGCTTTGAGTTCAAGACTGGCCTGGGCAACACAGGGAGATCCAGGCTCTACAAAAAATTAAAACATTAGCCAGGCATGATGGTGTGTGCCTATACACCCAACTACCTGAGAAGCTGTGATGGGAGAATCACTTGAGCTTGGAAGGTTGAGGCTGCAGTGAGCCATGATCACCCCACTGCAGTCTAGCTTGGTCAATAGAGTAAGACCCTGCCTCAAAATAAATAAAATAAAATAAATAAAATATTGAAGGAGGGAAAGAAATTTAAAACTCAAAAAAACCCATAATATTAAAAATTATAATAAAGTTAAAGATAATAAAATCAGTGGAAGGTAAATATAAAACATCCATATGATAAAATTATTTATATACACATTTAAAAATATGCAGGTAAGCTAAAAGCTGGAAGATGACATTGGTCATGCATACACAGTTGTCCCTTGGTACGTGGGAGGGATTGTTTCCAGGACCCTCCAATGGATATCAAAAGCCATGGATGCTCAAGTCCCTGATATAAAATGGTTTAATACTTGCATATAACCTAAGTACATCCTTCCATATAATTTAAATTATCTCTAGATTGCTTACAATATCCAATACAGTGTAAATTCTATGTAAATAGTTGTCATACTGTATTTTAAAATTTGTATCATTGTTATTGTCATATTGTTATTTTTATTTTTTTTCCAATATTTTGTCCACAGTTGGTTGTGTCTGCACATGCAGAAGCTGTGAATACAGAGGGCTGTGATCAAGAAATACTACACAGTGTATACACAGTACTCCCCTCTTATCTATAGGGTATATGTTCCAAGATATAACCTTGCAAGGTATCCTATTTACAGCCTAGCAAATGCCCCCTGCCCAAATGAAATAACTTCCCTAGGCCAGGTGTGGTGGCTCACATCCATAATCCCAGCACTTTGGGAGACCGAGGGAGGTGGGTCACAAGGTCAGGAGTTTGAGATCAGCCTGACCAACATGGTGAAATCCCGTCTCTACTAAAAACACAAAAATTAGCTGGGCGTGGTGGTGTGTACCTGTAATCCCAGCTACTCAGGAGACTGAGGCAGGAAAATCGCTTGAACCTGGGAGGTGGAGGTTGCAGTAAGCAGAGACTGTGCCCCACTGCACTCCACTCCAGCCTGGGTGACAGAGCGAGACTCCGTCTAAAAAGGAAGGAAGGAAGGAAGGAAGGAAGGAAGGAAGGAAGGAAGGAAGGAAGGAAAGATGGAACTTCCCTAAGGCAGAAAATATATTTTAAATAAAATGTTTGAATTTTAATTAAACCCCCATGCAAATTAATAATCAAAAGTTAAACTTGGACACCCAATTAAACATGTGTAGATGGGCCACATAAGTTTATCTTTTCTCTTTTCTGAGACCCCACTAAAATGCTACTAAAGAAATTTAACAGAGGAATAAATTCATGAGGGAAAGGATAGTGGAAGAAGAGACATCTGAGGAGAAGACACTCTGTGAAAAGGGAACTGGATACTTCTGTGGTGACTATTGAGAGCAGAAGATGTTGCAGCCGTGTAGAGGGAGCTCATGATGAGAAAGAGGTGATTCACTTTACAAAACCCCTGTATGTGCAGGACTCAGAGATACCAGAAAGCGACCGAGAATGCTCCAACAAAAGGAGAAAGGAAAGAAAATGGAAGAGCTGGGATCATGGATAGAGGGTATATAACACAAAAAGGAGGTAAAAGGAAGTCCTAGGAGGATCATGGGGGAGCAAAGTGAGAAAGCAATCTGCCTAGAATGGAGGGCAGAACAGAAGGCTCTGGGATGGAGGTTTTCAGGAAAAAAAATAAAATTAATAGATTATATGTTTTGGCATCTGGAAAAGAAGTAACAAAAATGACCAAATTTAAAAGCTAAACTGAATATCCAGATAAACGCAAAACCGAAATCAAGTGGTAATTGTAGAGAAAACAAAGGGAAAAGTGTACAAGAAGAGAAACATAAACTTAATTTTAAAAGTTGTGGTATTCTCCATGTATGTAAGAAGAGGAAGAATAGCTTGAGAGAGCTAAATCTTCATCTACTGTAAGAGAAGGTAATAGTGAGACACCAAAAAAGGCACTTAGAATCACATTACTTAGAAATAGAGATGTGAATGCCAAGAGATAAGGCTTAAAGGGTTGAAATAAAACAGGTTTAGGTAGGAGGCTACTCTATTTCATTAAAAGTCATTTGTAATCTTTGACTTTATAAAATCAGGTTAATAAATTTTCTTTTCTTTTCTTTTACTTTATTTTATTTGTGAGACAGGGTCTCACTGTAACCCCAGGCTGGAGAGCAGTGGTGTGATCATAGCTCACTGCAGCCTCAAACTCCTAGCCTCAAGAGATCCTCCAGCCTCTGCCTCCCAGGTAATCTAGGACTATAGGTGCATGTCACCACACTTGGCTATATTTTTAATTTTAATTTTTTTTTTTTTTTTTTTGCAGAGGTGGGGGTCTTGCTATGTTGTCCAGGCTGGTCTTGAACCATTGGTCTGAGGGATCCTCCTGCTTTGGCCTCCCACAGTGCTGAGATTACAGGTGTGATCCACCTTGCCTGGCCTGTGAATGTATTCTTTTGAGAAAAATAAATACATCGAATAAATGCAAATAAAAACAACATTGAGAAGAAGCAGAATTCCTTATCATACCTTAGAAAGCTTTAAAAAGATCTAGGCAAATAATGAAGGCTACTGTAAAATTTAGATCATTTTAACAGCAAAGATTCAAGTGTTTCAAAATATTTTAGTACTAACAAAAACAGGAACTGGCTTATAGCAGTTTGTAGCCTTAGAACAGCAAACACTTTTAAAATTAATTGCTTCCCTTACCCTGGAAAATCTAAACGAATGCTTCATTATATATTTTTAATAAACTGTTTGTGTTTACGGGGGTTGCGGTGGGAGATGGAGAGCTTTGGGGAGTTAAATTCATTTTGCAATATTGTCTCAGTTCGGATTCTTGCATTCTGAAATTTTAGCCTAGTTTTTAACAGGTGAATAACAATAAGGCAATGTAGTAGGAAGCAAGTCCTATCAAAGGGAGCTCCAGTCTCTGCAGACTGATAAAAAGGAGCCTCAGAACTTAAACCTCTGGATCAGGAGAATCAAAAAACATCATGCTTCTCTATACTACCTGCCCAACCTCCTTCAGTTAAACAGAGGCACTTTCAAATATACAATTCCAGCAGAGCCTGCATTTTTGTTGTAAGAGCCTCATGTATTAGCCTTTTTAGCCAGACACATCTGGGAGTTAAGTGCTTTGGATGACACAAAACAAAGGCTCCATGTTGCCTGTCACACCACAAGCTATTAATGACAAGCAGATCTGACCACTTCCCCCAGCTCCTGCATCCACTGAAAGCTCCTGTCACTTCCTCATTCTCAGCTCACTTATATTCTGATTCTGTTCTATAGACAACCATGGTTTACATT